TCCTCCACAACTAGACTGAAGAACAAAACGACAGCAACTTGTCTGTTCCCCTTCCCCCAATTCCCCAGCACTGTTCCCATCCCCCCAATTCCTCAATAAAAAAAAAAAATCTAAAAAAAAACCTCATCAGGTTGTTCACTTTACATGGATGCCATTTATTTCACATGAATTATACTCCAAGAAAGCTGACAAAAAGTTATCAAGGGTGCCCTGAGGTGGGAACTCTTGTTATATTGCAAGAGAACAAAAATCATTATATTCTCTGTGAAAAGCAAACGTGCATTTTCCTACTTCTATGAATCTGCCTTATGGAAGAGAACTAAAAATACGAACATAAAGTCTTATGCACAAAGATGTTTCCTGTGTTATTAATGACAGCAAATAATATAACAATAATCTTAATAAGGTCGGAGAAATATAATACTCTGCAATTATTGACATTTTATCGAGGTGACTTACGTCATATGCACTAAACCAAACCATCAGGCTATGAAGCGAAGGCCCATGAAGAGGAGCCACATGGAGGACTCCCGGTCCTCAGGAGGGAGGTCAGGAGGGACGGAGACAGGCAGACACAGAGACCTCACAGTCCAAGTCCAAAAGCTAGGAAGGGTCAGGGCCGAGTGGATTCTGCCCCCTGGAGGCACAGTGCCGTGTTGGGATGTGCAGTTCAACATGCCTGAGTTCAGGTCCTGACTCTACGCCTCCCCAGCCAGGTGGCCAGTTCACTGAACCTCTCTGAATCTCAGTGACCCCACCTGTCAGATGGGTCTGACCGGCCACCCTTCCACCATCAGTGACGAGGACCAGGGAGAGAGTCCGGCCAACAAGAAAGACCTTTGTAAGCTGTCAAGTTCCTTTCACCCGAGGGTTCAATGGGGCCCTCTGCACAGCTGCTCTGCATGTCGCTGTCATCAGTGTGGCTTGCTCTGATGACATCACTGGATCCCAAACCTTCCAGTGTCCCTGGACCACGTGGTACAGTAACTGTGTGAATAAACACCAAGGGGTAACAGGACCCTCCCACAGGCGAGTCCCTCCTTGCACCCTTTCCCAAGGCCTGCTCAGCAAGAAATCCCCTGGGTGACAAGCCCTGGGAGCTGCCACTCCAGCAGAGAGACCCCTACCCTCCAGAACTCTCTTGGTCCCTGTCTCCCTGCCATCTGGCTTCCAGGGGAGCAGGTTTTCCCATCCTCCTCTGAATCCAGTGCATATATTTGGGGGCGAGATGCAGTCAGTCCCCTGATGCTGGGCCATCACGCGGGCAGCACCTCGGACAGCTCCCCGCCTGCGGGCGGGCCTTCCCTGCTGGGCTGGGGCCCTAGGGGAGCAGGAGTGATTCCCCCCACCCCCACCCACTCTTCTCATTCCTGGTAATTCTGGTCTATAAAGTAGCCACAGACACGGAATTAGCAAATCCCAAACCAGTGCTCCTAGGAGAAACACAGGGCGAGGTTCCTTCAAGCCTCTGGTCACAGTATTTGTCTACCAGTCAATACATAGCCTTGTTTTGTATGTGTTTCTGTTTAAAGTATATAGTTGCCTCCTTACCAATGAACTCCAGGCCAACAGCGCTGTAACTCGTGTCTGAACGAAGCTCATCCAATGCGTGTTTTCTCCATAAGACCCATCACATGCCTGGGCCTAGACAGCCCCTCAGCGCTACGCTCGGGGCCATTTTAAACAGCAAAGCCGCCAGCACTAAGCACAGAAATGCCAAACACCTGGCACTAAGCTGACCGCGGAGGACACTCGTCACAGACACTTGAAACAAGGAGGCCGAGTGTCACCC